AATGGTCAAGGTGAAGGTCCAGACGTCGCCTGCCGGCACGTTCCCCGTTGAGCTCGGCCCTGCCGTCGCCGCCATGAAGGCGAACGCCGCCGAGACCCGCTACCCGTTCGGCTCGGTGCCCGTTGTGGTCGCGGCCCACGATCCCGTACACGATGGCCAAGTTCTTCTTCTTCGAGAAGGTCGTCGAGGCGTTCTACACGCACGCTCACGGAGCCCAAGGACTCGTACCCCAAGAGCACGCAGCTCGGTGTCACGTTCGCCTCGGGTTACCTTGCCGGTGTCATCTGCGCCATCGTCTCGCACCCCGCCGACTCGCTCGTCTCGCTCATGGGCAAGGCTGAGAACAAGGGCAAGGGCCTCGGCCAGATTGCCTCGGAGACCGGCCTCGCCAACCTCGCCACGAAGGGCCTCGGCACGCGTATCATCATGATCGGTACGCTTACGGGTCTCCAGTGGTGGATCTACGACTCGTTCAAGTCGGCGCTCGGCATGGGCACGACCGGCGGTGTTGCCAAGAAGTAAATATTCATCTAGTCTCGAGTTTTCTAGATTCGCCGACTGGCACCAATATACGCATTCTGATGTCATTGTTTGTCGACGAATCTAATAGGAATGTCGCATGCAGATGATGTATATCCACGGAGAAGTCGGCGGCCCTGGTGCAGAGAACCACGCGTCGCCGCATGAAGCTGAACGCGCGATCGCCTTGTACCAGCCGCGCCCATCATTTGGGCTCGATGAGAACCTTTGAGCGACCAAAGCATAGATTGTGATGTACTAGTACGTTGCATCGGGCGCAGGAGCAAGGACACGGGTAAAGGCCTTGGAAATCTGTAGCGCTCTGCATGTTCCTATCCCCAGTAGCTCGCCAGAGCTTCATGCCAGTGATCAAGAACATCGAACGTGTTTGGGTTGGACCCATGGGTTGGACCAATGGTCCTGGTCCAATATCGAGTGCTCTCTTTTATTTTTATTGCTTGAAAATACTTTTTATCCAAGGGAAGCGCACAGATTATCCGGACAGCCCACACACCAGAGCTGCGGAGAAGCAAGTATGGGACGTAGCCGCAGTCCAGCTCGCCACCGCAGTCGGAGCCGTAGCCGCAGCCGTGGTCGCAACAACCGCCACCGCGATGTACGCGACCGCTATCGCGACAATGAGAAGGATCGCACGCCAGAGCGCCGGCGCCGACGGAGCTCTGTCGAAGAGACCAAGGAGTCGCCAATGAAGGCACCAGAGGACTCGAAGCCCAAGGTCACAGAGAGCAACGGCGAAATCAGTATGAGTGTTGAAGAGACAAACAAGCTTCGTATCTCGATGGGGCTCAAGCCTCTCCGCCTCACGAAGCCCGAGTCGAAGGAGGTCAACCTAGCCAAGTCGCGCGAGGACCTCGCAGCCGAGGCGCACCAAAAGCAGCTCAAGGAGACACTGGAGAAGTCCAAGCGGAAGCGCGAGTATACCGCCAAGATGCAAGGCAAGTCCCTCGGTGAGACGCTCGCCGAAGATGCGACGTCAACCCTCGATTGGGTCCGTCGCAGTCGGACAACGGCGCCTGCGCCTCTTCCAGGCACGAAAGCACCCGCGGCTGCCTCTTCTACCTACAGCGCGATGGACCTTGAAGGTCTTACGGTAGCTCACGATGCGCAGTCGTTCGAAGAGGGCGAAGACGTCATCTTGACGCTGAAGGACAACCGTATCCTTACCGATGACATGGGCAACGTGAACGACGCTGACGACGAGCTCGAAAACGTGACGCTAACCGAGGCCGACAAGCGCAAGGAGCGCGAAGAGATGGCGAAGCGCGCGGCCGGACCCGTCTACTCGGGCTTTGACGATGAAGAGTTTTCGACCGTGCTCGGCGACCGACCCAAGAAGCGGCTGCTCACGCAATACGACGAAGAAGACGATATGAAGGAAGCACGGGCGCGCAAAAAGTTTGCGCTCAGCGCCCTCGGTGGTCATGTCGTTGAGACGCCGTCCTTGCCGGCGTCGGCCGTGTCAGCGGGCACTGTCACCCTTGGCTCCATCAAGCAATTCCAGGCCATGGACGACTACTACACGCCCGACGAGATGACAGTCTTCAACAAGAAGAAGACCAAGAAGCTTCGGAAAGAAGGGTGGCAAGTCGCGCCGGCGCGAGAACGATGACGAAGACGAGGGTGAGAGTGCAACCAAGGACCTCGTCGAGCAGCTCGAAGCCGAGGCGAGAGCCTCTGCGGTCGACCACGGCAAGCGCCGGGCGGATGCAGCAAGCGCAGTCGCGACCCTCGAGGCTCAGAACCGCGCGAAGTTTGAGAACGCCCGCCGGCGTGAGGCTGAGAAGGCCAAAGCTGCCGCTGTCGAGGACATTGATGAAGAGCTCAGCGCGTCGCTTGCCCGCGCCCGCCAAGCCGCGCTGCAGGCCAAGACCGCGGTGATCGAGTCCAACGAAGCGCGTGTCTTGTCGCAAGTGGCAGCCGACAGCGCCGCGTCGCACAATATCCATCGCGACGCGCCGACAGCCAACACGATCGTCTTTAGCGAGGCGACGGACTTTGACGTGCGCGTCAAGAATGCCATGGACGCCCGCGTCGCGTCCGTCGACAAGCTCGCGGCGCCGACGGTGGATGTGGACGAAGAAGAGACCAAGGCGGATGCACCTGCCGACGACGCGATGCAAGGTGCAGACGAAGACGACGACGACGACGAAGCGACATGGGGTGTTGAGGAGCCCTTGGTGCAAACGGGCATGGCTGCGACACTCGCGCTGCTTCGAAACCGCGGTGACCTTCGCGATGATATACAGCTGCGTCAAGCAGGCCGTGCGAACGACCATCGCGACCGTAGCTTTAACGAAGAACTCCAAATCAAGGACGGCGTCAAGCTCGACTACCGGGACGAATTTGGCCGGCTCTTGACCAAGAAGGAAGCCTTCCGCCAGCTTTCGTACCGTTTCCACGGCCACGCGCCGGGTAAGAAGAAGCAAGAGAAGCGCCTCAAGCAGCTCAAGGAGGAGCTTGCCCAACAAAAGACCAATGTCAGTACCAAGATGCAGTCGCTCGACCGTCGGCAAAAGCAAACCAAGCAAGCACACCTCGTGCTCTCCGAGGGCACGTAATCGTCGCTGTGCACAGGTTGCAAGTATACAACTACACCAACATGCATTGTTCTCGTCTTCTTACGCAGCAACTGCCTGATTGATTGCATTGTCGCCTCGTCCAAATGAGGGGCGACCGAAGGCTCGGAGACTTATGCAGGCGCGATGAAAAGGCGGTGCACGGCCATGGCCAAAAGCATGCCGGCGACCCACTCGCTCTTGCGCTCACCGATGCGCGAGGCTTTCCAGCAGAGCCCTGTGAGGCCCTCGTGCTTCCCGGGCAGCTGGCCTCGGTCGAAGAGCGTCGGGAACTTCATGCGGATGTAGGTGCATGTGCAGATAAAGAGCAGCACCATCGTGAGCATACCCGTGAAGTTGAAGAGCGCCGTCTACGTCGCCATGAGCCATCGCCGTCATGCAGCGCCTCACCATCGTTCGCAGTCGTCCAAATAAAATATCCGGACTTGCGCGGTATCCGGACGATGAGCCCCGTGACGTGGCGGTCCCGCGATCAAGTGGGCAATCCTAAATGAACGGTGCAATGAAGCCGACGTGGCGACGACGCGGCGCGTCGGATTCGGTAAGAAGACACGACAACCTTTTATGTAGTAAAGGGCGACCTAGATACCCTAGGGAGTCTGCCGACCGAAGCGCAGCTTCCATGATGGTGATCCATTGATGTGGCGACCGAGATGGATCCACGGCGCTGCGTCTCTCGCTGACCATATCGAAATCCTTAATCGCATCGGTAGGAAATAGCGTTTTACACACTTAAAAACTCCCAAGGTACCAGGGCCGGCGCGGGAGGGCACAGCCTCTGCTAAGAGGGCCAGTGTTCGAGCGAGTCATATGGAGAACGAAATGAAAGACACAGTCTTGCTACGAAGGTATAGGTCTTTTCCCGTCGAGCTACGTCGCGCACACGGCGTCTCGGAGGTTTTCTTTTGATGCGCGTCGACCGCTTGGTCGTCGGACGATCGCGACCTCTTCCCCCGTGTAGCTTTCAAGGAGGAGCTGCTTTGGGTCGTGGGGCAGGACAATAATGTCCTCAGAGTCACTCGAGATGGACGCGCCGTCGTCGACTTCGTCCTGGGCGTACTCGATTACCTCGGCCTCCGTGTCTTCAAAGTCTTCGCTGTACGCGAAGAGCTCAGTGCGCGGCGGTCCGTCGTCGTCAAAGTCCGAGTCGTCGCTGTAAAAGTTTTCCTCGGCCTCGTACTCACTCATGCTTGTGTAGTGGTCGTCGTCGTCGCCCGAGTCGTAATTGGAGCTCCCGCTGTACGAAATGTTGTCGTCTGGCTCGACAGCTGCTGCGACGGCTTTGCCTCGCTTGGGCCCCACGGGCGCCACCGCAGCCTCATCGTCATCGTCCGAGACGCCGAGCGCGAGCTCCGCATCAAGATGGAGCTTGCTCATGTAATGGATCGACTTGAGGTTCACTTTTTGGTCGATTGTAAGCGCCTTTCGCCGAACCACCTTGCGGCCTAAGGGCGTGTTATGCCCATGCAAGCAACATCACCAACCGTAGTTGATGTGCTTGCTCGCCAAGCACTCTTGCGTGTACTCGGTCGCGTAGTTAGGTTTGAGCAGCTCTTCCGTCTCGATGCGCTCCTCGACCTCGTCTCCGTCGGCGTGGACCCAGCCTGTTGTCGCCGGCACCACCGTTTGCGTGGGAGTGGCCACCTGCCACCTGCTGCTGTCATCGTCGTCGTCGTACGAGTACTCGAAGATTTCAACGACTGACGGCGGTGCGACCAGTGGTGTGATCTTGGCTTCGCGTACAAAATGCTCACTGAGGTGTCCACCCTTGGCGTGGAGCTCTACGCTGGCTGGATTAATTCAAGGAAGCAACGGGCTGCGGAACGCACGCTGCATGTGCTGCACGATCAACGGCGCGCGCAAAATATCATCAATCGTCGGCCGACGGTCAGGGTTCTTGTCCAGAAGCGCCTTTAGGAGGTCCGATATTTCGGGTGGGTAGCACGCTGGCAGCGGGGCAAACTAGATCATACTCGATCGCTATCCTCGATCGACCAAAGCAACACGGTACGTACGTCGTGCTGGATGATTTTGACGATGAGCATGAGGATATTAGGGGCATCGAAGGCATGCTTGAGCGTGCAAATCTCGTAGAGGACGCAGCCGAGCGCCCAAATGTCGCTTGCGTACGAGTAAGGCTTGGACTCGCACACCTCGGGGCTCATGTAGTATGGTGTCCCGACGACGGTCTTGGCTTGGTCCATCGTCGAGTTGAGCGTGCGCGCGATGCCAAAATCGCCGAGCTTGACAATGTCTTTTCGCGTGAGAAAGATGTTGCTCGTCTTGAGGTCGCGGTGCAGTATCCGGCGTTGGTGCAGATACTTGATCGCGCAGGCCATCTGCACGAACCAGTCGAGGACGCGCGAGAGGTCAAAGTAGCCGCCGCATTCTGGCTGCGCCTTGATGCAGCCAGCGAGGTCGCCACCATCGCAGTAGCCCATGACAATGTGCAGGACGCTACCCTCGACAAAGCTCTCTCTGTACTGCACGACGAACGGCGAGTCCAGCTGCGCGAGAAGGTCGACCTCGGCGAACGCTTGCTGCTTCTCCTTGTCCGTCATGAGCTCGACCGGGATCTTCTTGACGACGTACTTGTCGCCGGTGCTCGCCTCCGTGACCAAGTACGCGCAGCCGTAGCTCCCGCGGCCGATGCAGCGTTCCTCGACGTACTGGTTCATGGCGCCGAGGTCGCGGCAACGGAACGGGCCGTCGCAAGATTCTTTTGGAACAACGTCCGCGCCGGATCCAATCCGGAATATCCACTGTCTCGTCCACTGTTTTCGTTGAGCCACTGGATGGACGCGTTTCGACAGCCAAAATGGCGGCGTGGCGCCATCTTGTCGCGCGATTTGCAGCGTAAAATTAGCCAACGCCAAAACGTACTTCTCACTGGCGCGATGATGGCCGAGGAGGTGCTCGAAGAGATCGCCCCAACGCGGTGCCGAGCTCACGCGAAACGAACGTGCCGACCACGGTGACGCGCCTCCCGTCGCCCAACTCGCTCGTTAAACCCGGCACATCGACGTGCGGAATGAAGCCCGCGACGTCCGAGGCAGCGGCCGAGCTCGAGGAGTTGGCCAAGGGCACGCGCCGGGGCACAGCCACGACGCTCTTCGCCCACCTGCGCAGAACGCGCAAGTCGGAGGTGAAGCCGCGCAAGTACTACCGCCGGGGTACGATCTTCCTCGAGCACCTCGAGGCGCAAAAGGTCGCAAAGGGCGTCGACTCCAAGTTTGTTGACACCATGAAAGCACACTACGAGAAGAGCCACATGAGCACGAGCACGATGATTGGGCTCTCGATCTTCCAGAACGGCAACAACCCCGTGAACGACCCGTTCGCAGTCGACAACATGCCGCTTGAGATCCAAATTGGGTTCCGGAAGAAGCTCTTTCGGCTCTTCTCGCTGCAGCTGCTTGCCGTGATTGGCCTCGACTTCGCGTTCACGTCTGCACCTGGTTTGGGCTCGTGGTTCAGGAGTCCCTGGAACCTCTTTGGCGTCTTCTGCCTCATGATCCTTTCGCTTTTTGTGCTGTACCTCAAAAAGTACATTTACCCGCTCAACTTTGGCATCCTCGCCGTCTACACCGTGTTCCAAGCCATCTTTCTCGCCGGTCTCGACGCGTACCTCGCGCAGCACATTAGCCTCTTCGTCTTCATCTTCACCTTCGTCGTCATCACGCTCCACAGCGTTCTGTGCACGGTACCGCTGCGGGGGTCTCCGACAGCCCCGGACGGCTCCTGAGCTACATGGTGTCGGTCGCGATCGCCTTCGGCATCGTCTTTATGCTCTCGCTCATCGTGTTCTTCACGGCGCTCCACGAAACTCTCTCACCACCCATGAGCGTCACCGAGTACCTGCTCGCAAGCGCTTTCATTTTGATTCTTTGTCTCTGGTTCGCCTACGACGCGTCGTGTATGAACCAAAAGCTGAGCCCGGACGAGTACATGCAAGGCATGATCTTCTTCTACACCGACATGATCCTCTTCCTCATCTTCCTGAGCATGATCACGTTCGCCTTCATGGCCTGCGAGGGCGACGCGTGCTGCTGTGGGTCGGCCGAAATTCTGCCCGCGTATCCCGTGGGGGTCGTCGGCGACGCGGCCGGGCCTGTTGGGGAAGGCGGCTCGGAGCGCAACAACGACGAGCACGCACCTACCGGTGTGGACAACCAGACCATGGTGCGATGACGACGCAGCGAGTCAAGAATAGTCTAGGACCCTAGTTCATTAGTTGCAATTCGATACATTTGAACTTTGACGACAAGCAAATCTTTTGGCTGGCTTCAACGTGAAAAATCATTTCACACATGGTTTGCTCTTGACAAGGATGTCACAAGGTAGACGATCAGTGTGCAAAATGTGAGAAACGTTCCTAGACACAACCCGCCTCGAGATACATCGCTTGATGGTGCTGCTCTCAAGCAGCCAAGGCTACCTATACAACACGAATGATATGCTCCACCACGCGAACAGTGCCTTCGGTAGCGTGGCAAGACCCGTGCGGTGATTCTCACGTTTTTCACAGTGGGAAATCATGTGAGGGCAGGATGCTGACCCAATCAAACAAGCGGATTTGGCCAGTGACGACGAGCGAGCGAAGATGCTGGATCCCGAGAGCGAGCCGGTCCTCAAGTACGAACGCATTGGCGGCCACTTCCAGACGCTCTTTCGAGACGATGCGCTGAGCTGCATCGCGGTGCACCTCAACTTTGTCTGCGTCGGAACATACGAAGGCCACGTGCTCCTCCTCGAGCTCAACGGGCGCTACGTGCGGCGGCTCCACAAGCACCACAAGAAGGTGCAGGAGATCTCGATCGACGAAACCGGTCAGCACATCGTATCGAGCTCGGACGACGGGACCGTTGCCGTCTACTCGCTGCTCCCGATCTCGAGCGACGACGGTGTCCGCGTGGCGATCCCCAACGCGGGCGGCGAGGTCAACATTTACAACTTTTACTCGGCCGTCTACTCTGCGCAGCTCGAAACCATGTACGCGTCGAAGCGCGAGCGCACGTTTGCTTGCGGTGGCATCGCCGGCCAGCTCATCCTCAACAAGAAGGGCTGGATCATCGACAAGGAGACGACGGTCCACGAGGGCGAAGGCCCCGTGCACTCGATTCGGTACCATGAGAATCTCCTCGCGTGGGCCAACGACTGGGGCGTCAAGGTCTACGACACGTCAACCGAGTCGCGCGTCACGTACATTGAACGTCCGCAGAACTGCCCGCCTTTTGAGCTCTGCAAGGCGCACCTCGAGTGGCACACGACATCGACCCACGGCCTCTGCCTTCTCAGTCGGGTGGGGCCCCACACTGCGCGTCGTCAAATTCTCGTCCTCTACGCCCGACGCACCCGAGAAAGCCACGTTCGGCACCATTTCTGCCGAAGTTGTTGCGTTCTTGACCTTTGACTTCTTCGTCGCGGGCCTGGCGCCGTGGGGCGAGTCGTCCGCGGCGCTCCTCGCGTACCGCCCGCCGGGGTCAGCGCCGCCAACAACAGTTGGCAAGGAGCGCGGCGAAGGTCCGGCCGAAACGCTGCCTTGCCCCGAAGTGCACCTCGTGCAATTTGATGGCCAGCCCCTCGCGGCGGACGTGCTCCAGATCAAGGGCTACGACAAGCTTCGGGCGTCCGACTACCGGCTGGCGTCGCTGGCGTTCGGAAGCGACCAGCGCGTCTTGTACCTCTGCGCGCCGAGAGACGTGGTGCTGTGCCGGCGCCGCGACGTCGACGACCGCGTCGCGTACGCGCTGGCGTCGCGCTCGTACGAGGCGGCGCTCAACATTGCGCTCACGGACGTGGCGAGTCTCCAGAAGCATGCGCTCGACGAGCTGGTCGAGTACTACCTCGGCGAACTCATTCTCTCCAAGGCGTTTGCGAAAGCGGCGGACGTGTGTCACCAGCTCCTCGCGGGCCACCTCTGGGAAAAGTACGTCTACGTCTTTGCGCAGAAGGGCGCGCTGGGCGCGATCGCCAAGTACATGCCGACGGCCAACCCGCGCTTGCCGTCGAGCCAGTACGAGATGGTGCTGACGCACTTTCTCGAGACGGACCCGGCGTCGCTCCTCGAGATCATTCGCAAGTGGCCCAAGCCGCGCCTCCAGGACAAGCTGCCCGTGCAGTCGAGTCGCGAGTACATTGAGAGCGCGTCGCCATTCGAGCCGCTCTATGACGCCGACGCGTGGATCAACCAGCTCGAGGTGCCCGTGCACTTAAGGCAGCCAGAGAACAACTCATCACGGCACGTGTTCTAGACGACGGTGCGTCGGCGCCGGCTTGCGGAAGCTGACCACATGAGCATGGAGACAGCCTTTCTGATGGAAGCGCTCGCGGAGCTCTACACGGCAACCGAGCAGTACGACCACGCGCTCCGCATCTACCTCAGCCAGGTACGTGGTCCGTGATGTCGTCCGCGGCGCTTACCCTTCGCTAGGGCTCCATGTGCTCCAACAAGGACCACGCGTTCAAGCTCATCGTCGAGCACAACTTGTGGGACTCGGTGCAAAACAAGGTACTACGTCTGTACAAGTCTTGCGACCTGCAGCAACAGTAGGTCGTCAACCTCATGCTCATCGATCGCGACGCGGCGCTGCGCATGCTCGTGCACCAGATCAAGTCGGACGAGCTCAAGGTCCACGCGATCGTCAAGCAGTTGGAGCACAAGCGCGAGCTCCTCCACGAGTGCGTTCCCAGCACGCGGCTCGTGTGCTCACCTCTCGCGCTTCCTAGGTATCTCCACAACCTCTTTGTGCACCGGCTCGTCGACTACAATACGGACAAGTACTCGTCGCTGCACGAGATGCAGGTAGAGCGTACGAGTTCGATTGGATGACGCAACGTAGGTGGCGCTCTACGCCGAGTTTGCGCCGCACGTGCTTCTGCGCTTTCTGCAAACGAGTTCGTTCGTGCCGCTTGAAAAGGTACGAGAACCGCCGGCACCGACCCTCATGCAGGATTGCCAGGCCTACAAGTTTTGCTCGGAGCGGTCGCCGCCGCTCTGGGACGCGATGGTGTTCATCCTCGGCCGCATGGGCCAGCACAAGAAGGCGCTCGACTTCATCATGACGCAGCTCAAGAACGTCAAGCAAGCAATCCAGTTCGTCGAGGTGCGGCGCCGCAACCGAATGCCGATGCGATCCGGATTATTAGGACCACGATAGCGGGCTGTGGGACTACTTGATTGAGATCTCGCTCTCGCACACCGAGTGCATGGAGGAGCTTCTCGAGTACGCGTGCGACCACAAGATTGACCCGATCAAGGTCATGCAGAAGGTCCATTTCTTCGCCGCGATGCGTTCGTCATGCCGTATTAGATCCCCGAAGACATGGAGATTGCGGGCTTGAAGGACAAGGTCCTGCAGATCATCACCAACTACCGCATCCAGGTACCACGCCATCGATGACAATACTTGAACAACATGGACGTGTAGATGAGCTTGTACCGCGGCTGCACCAAGGTCTTTGAGACGGACCGCATCGAGCACCTTCGTCGACTCGTCGTCGCACGCAAGAAGCCCCGGCGCGTGACGCTCCAGACGTCCTGCGGCGTCTGCTCGCTCCTCCTCAAGCAGTCTCTGCCCATGGTAGGGAACCTCTTACTGGCATCTCATCACGGTGGATGTTTAGAGCACCGCCAAGCATGTGTGCATCTTTGAGTGTGGTCATGCGTATCACATGGCTTGCCTCGAGGAGAAGACCATGTTGTGGAAGGCACCCGACGAGCCGATGCGAGGTCAGCTGTCCGAGCCTGGCTGCTTCCTCTGCGACCACGACGCGGGCCAGCGCCGCCACGACGCCACCGAGTCGAGCAGCGTCAAGGGACTGACCGAGGTACAGCTGGAGGCAGCACGCGAGACCTTGCTTCAAGTCACGCCATAGTAGCAATATAAAAAGGCGCTCGACGAGCGACTGTTATCGAGTGTGTATTATAGCACTAATGACAAACGGTCGCACTTAGAACTTGACTTCCTTGAGGCCCCACTTGATGTAGAGGAAGACCGGGGCGAGGGCGCCCTCGGGGTAGTACGAGTAGGCCATGCCGGCCTCCGTGTCCATGGCGCGGAACATGTAGAACTGGAGCTCGCTGAACTGCGACGTGAGGTACTTGACGATCTCCTGCGCGTCCGACTTGAACTCATCGAGCTTCTCGTCGCTGGCGCCAGTCGACTTGAGGTGCTTCATGATCTTGCGGAAGTAGCCCTTGAGGTACGCCTTCATGTCGGCCTTCGAGTCGAAGCCCGTCTCCGTGTAGCCGAAGCCGACCGACTCGTCAATGATGTTGTTGACCGTCTCGACCGAGTCGTCGACGTCCTGGTCGCCGCCGCCGAAGGCGTCGCCGCAGCCGACATCGATGTTGAGGCCGCCCTTGGTGACCGTCTTGGACGTGACCATGAGCATGCCCGGGACGACGTTGCCCTCAGCATCCTTGGCGTCGACGACCTTGTGCGAGTCCGAGACGACTTCGTCCTCCGTGAAAATATCTTGCCAGACCAACATGGTTTTTTGCGTCGAATTCGATTTTGCGAAATGACGTCCCCGCCACTGTTTTCATCGTCCGGATAAAAGGGGTGGTGGAAAGCCGCTGACCAGGTCCGGATCTTCGAACTTCGAGATTCGGCGACCGGCGACACGCTTAGTCATTGCCGCCTCACTAACTTACCCTCGCCATCGAGGTCCGGGGCCGAGAGGGTTTGGAGCCACCACGTCCTCAATGCACTGGATTCGTCATTGCGAGGTGACATCCGCCGCTGACGTTCGCATCGTCCACGTCATTGCGTGGACGTCTGCCGCCTCATCGCAGGTGCAGACACGCGGTGCGTCGAGGGCGGCTGCTCATTGGAAGGCGAGAGGCGTCCCAGTCCATCTTGGAAGATTCTGTCGGCATGTAGTAGACGCAGCTTCGAGCTCGCCATCTTGGTTTGGATCGCCATTGCGCTATTTTGGGACCCTGGCCAATCACGTTGCTGGTCTTATGCGTATCCAATCAGCGCTCGTTTCACATCCCAACGGCGCCCAATCACGCGCGGCAACCGCCCGAGCCATCGCGAGCCGTTGCAGCGGGTCATTTCCGATCGTGACCCCAAAAGCATGAGCTCGCTCGAGTCGTCGTCGCCGTCGGCCAAGACGGGCATGGTCACGCGCATCGCCAACATCAATAAGATGGAGCTGCCCAAGGTGCTACGCCTCATGCGCCTCGGCAACGTTGGCTGCTCCATCTTCCAGGTCTTCGCAGGTCTCACGGGCCTCACGAGCTTCATTACGCTCAACATCACGGGCACACTTGTCTCGATCTACGTCATCATGTTTGGCCTCCTCTTCCTTCTCTTTGAGTGTCGCCTCAGCAGCATGGAAGGACACATCCGCCGCAACTTTGGCTTCCTCTACTCGTACAAGGGCCGCGCGTGCTTCATCTTCTTTATCGGGTTCCTCGACTTTGGCATGAGCACGACGCTCGGTACGATCGCCGGCGTCTTTATGTGCATCAACGCGCTCTTGAACCTCCTCGTGATGTGCAAGCACCCGGAATTCAAGTCGGGCCACGTGAGCCGCGACGCTGACCCGACGCTTGGCTACACATCCGGCCAGCAAGAAGCGGCGGCCTACCTGAGCGCAAACCCCAACGTTGCGATGCAAGCGAGTACGTTTGCGCTCTCGGCCGCTGCGCAGCCCAAGCCGGTGGTGTGAGGCCACGCGCACATGGACGCCTCGCATAAAATCAATAGTTTTATTTTCTGCTTTATGCAAATTGCCATCTACTCGCACTTGCTTTGCTTCCGGGATACGACGTGGCTGCGCTCCGCAGTACCGGTCTTTACACCCGTTGGGCCGAGAGGGCGAATGAGCCAGCTTGCATCGCGACCTGCGGGTTTGCGCGGAGGTAGTCCTGCGCGGCCTGGTTGCCGGTCGCATACGACGCCGTCGGGTCCGCGTTGACACCCACGTTCTTGAAGTCTGGGTGCTTGTACATGACGTAGAGGTTCGTGATCGCAGCGAGGCTCATGACGATACCCGCGAGCGTGCCCAAGGCGGTGCTCATACCAAAATCGAGGAAGCCAATGAAGAATATGAAGCCGGCGCGACCCTTGTACGTGTAGAGGAAACCAAAGTTGTTGCGGATGCGCGACTCCATCGAGTTGAGCCGGCACTCGTACAGAAGGAAGAGAAGGCCAAACATGACCACGTAGAGCGAGACGAGCGAGCCCGTGATGTTGAGCGTGAGGAAGCTGAAGAAGCCGGTGACACCGGCGAAGATCTGCAGCGCCGAGCACAGGATGTTGCCGACGCGCATGTAGCGCAGGAGCTTCGGCAGCTCCATCTTGTCGACGTTCTTGATGCGCGACGCGAGGCTTGGCTTGGCCATCTTGCCCTCAATGCTGCTGGCGCCGATGTTGGTCTTCATCCTGTCTCGCTGCCAAAGTAAAGAATAAGCTGCCCTGGCTCTACCAGAGGCCATCCGGATAATCCAGAACAGAACACCTGAATAGTGTGATTCCTAAATTGGTGACACCCATATCCCAAAAGGCTTTGCCAGAGGACAGGACAACTAGTAGCTGATACTTGGGCCTCCTCCTGCTCACGCGATGCACGCAATGACTACTATATTTTTGCAGCACTCCTTGCAGAGCACGTAGGTAATTATGGCGCGCAACATCGACCACTATTCTTCCAGCCAAGTCAAACTTGGTCATTTTACTGTTAGAAAACCTCACACTATTTCACTTAAGCACATGACGCGTCCCTTCGCATTATCCGGATTGATCCGGATTGCTTGGAGTCGAGGAAAGCCTGGAAAAGATCGCGACAGGGATGCGCTTGGCCTTGGCCGCCTCCATCGCAAGCCTCGTCGTGGGCGAAGACCTTCGCTACCAGACGAACGCCCTCGCCTACATGCCACGACCAGGCCTGAATGCCATTGAAGCGGCGCTTGGGCCAACCTTCCAGCGCTCGAGCTCATCGCTATCAGCAACGCGACCGCGCCGCTTCGCATTCTTTGCTGGGTCAACACGTACGAAAAGACGCATGCACGAGCGCGCGCAATCAAGGAAACATGGGGGCAGCGCTGCACCAAGTTGCTCTTCATGAGCAACGTCGAGGACGATGAGATCCCGACTGTCCGCGTCGTTGCGCCGGCGACGCACGACCACCTGTGGCAGAAACACAGGTTCGTCGTGCGGCTCCTCGCCCGCGAGTACGACGCATCCGAGTACGATTGGATCTTCAAATGCGACGACGACACGTACGTCATCATGGACAACCTACTCTCGTACTTGCATTCGGTGGCCACGTCGATGGCATCGCCGGACGAGCCCACGTTGCTTGGCCACCGCATGACGCTGCAGTGGTTTGAAATGCAAAAACCTTTCCACGACCTCTCCTACATGCAGCGAGATCGACGGTGCGATCGCTCGCAGGCAGGACTAGCGCCATACCTTACGAGTATTGTAGGCGAGCGTTGGAGACCGTACTCCGTGAAACACGCAATCAAGGTACAACTACGTACCTTCTCCCACAAGGTACATGGACGATGCTCAATCGTACATAGGGGGCTTGTACTATACTCCTGGCGGTGCTGGCTATGCATTCAATTCTGCGTACTTGACGCAGCTCGTGGCAGCTCTCGATGAGCCATCGTGCCTCCCGGACGAGGTTGTGCCAGACGACTGGGCGATCTCGTTCTGCATGTATCACCGCGGTGTCGTGCCCACGGACACACGCGATAGTTTGCACCGCGAGCGCTTCCACCAGTACTCGCCCGAGCAGGTCTACTACTGGCCCGACGACGTCAATGACTTTGACCACTGGAACTACGCGTCGATCTACGACGCGCAAAACTGGTTCTCGGACCACATCGGCATTGGCTGGAGAAACGGGTCCGACTGCTGCGCACCCGACTCCGTCTCTTTCCACTACGTCCACGACATGCACCTCGTAGACGCCTACTTTGAGCTACGAAAAAATGCCCCAAAATAAAAGCTCTGCGGGCGCTTCCTCATAATTCAAGTTGTCTGTTGGGCAGTGACCCTCGTCGCGCAATGCTCCATGGGCTTGCCCGTGGTGCTGGCGCTTGGAATATACCATGTCTGGGCCATCGCAACCAGCTGCCATCTTTCCGACTCGCTCGCCAACTCGTTGCACGAATGCGTGCCTCTGCTGCACTTGCAGTATGAGTGTCTCTTGACACTCACGGCTGCGGCATCGCTGATGGCGTCGCCACTGCGACGGGCTGGGAGCGGCCAAATCATTTTTCGTTGCTACGGTCTGGTTTCTTGATGCACCGAGTCGGCGCATCAACTAGTAGCTCGGCGGAGTGAGCAACTCGAGCAGAGCTGCATTGAATGTGGGCGTCCAACTCTCTGGAGATGTGCGATGTGCTGTGCGCAATGATCAACCACGCCTCTGCTAGAACCTCAAACCCAGTTTGCCAAGGCGACATCGAGGGCACCGTCGTGGTCCAATTCGTCACGGACTTGGCTCGGGACGCTCGCGTCACGGCAATTCGTCGCGCGACCAGCTACATTTACATAGACGCAGCGCTCACGAGCCTCGTGCCCGCTGTGTCTCGGGCGCTTCAAGACATCCGTTCAACGCTCCAGCGCCTCATCATTGTGACAACAACGCTGGTGGCATGGACGGTCTTGAAAAATATCGTTGTGACCTCATCTACGCAGCGATCCCAAGCAACGTGCGCGTCTACACCCTTCGCGCAACGACGCTGCACTCGAATGTTCTGCAAAACGACGATGCCTTCGTCGGCATCAGGGCCACCGACTGGGCGTTCCGTCGCAAGACGCTTGGCCCGCTCAAGGTGCACCTTGTCGACGCCGCGACGACCAACGCCGACGATGGCGTGCGCGTCACCCGCTTGGCGGCACTCACGGGCGGCGTGATGACGTTCGACAAGTCGCTCTTGGACGCCACCGACGTGCTGCAGACGTACGCTGCGACCTCACGTGTTCTACAAGTACACTGCTTTGCGCGCTGCAACGATGCGGCACAAGCGGCGTGTGACGGCCCCGCATACGTAGCGATGACGCGCTTTTGTCGATGGCCCGAGCTCGCTCGCCTACGCCGACGATCCCGGCGCTTCGGTCAAAGCGCAAATGGATGATGCTGCGCGACTTCGCACTGCGATCCATGTCTGGGGCAGTGTGTTTGAGGCAACTCTGGTGCTTCTGAGCATCCTAGCCAATGGCTCTCGTCGCTGGCTGCGGCGGCGACTCGACTCGACCGACGACGCGTCACGAGCGAAGCGCCAAGACCACGCACAAGCTCCTTCCCTCCGCTGAACGGTAAGAACATCATGTTTGCAGCGTTAACAGCGGTGCGTATGCATAAAGACGATGGTTTGCGTGCGCACCCAAATTACCGGACGCGGGAGATGGTGACGGGGTTGTCCGAGTAAACGACTAGGTCAAAGTCGGCCTGGATCGGCTCAAAGGTCGACGGGATGGCCACGTACGTGCCCGGCGACAGCGTGAGCAGCGGCGTCCGCGCGCCGGACGCACTGTTGGTGTAGCAGCCATTGCCCGACGTTCCGATTGCCGTTGTGGGGTTGGCACTGGGGTCCAGCTGCCCGTTGGGACCGCACATGTACAGTGCCAAGTTGATGGACGGCACAGGGGATCGCGTCGGCCGTAGCCGAAGAAAAAGCCGCGTCACCGCTCTACGCAGCAGCGTCAGCACCGCATACTTTAGATGCCACGTACGAGAGCTGCACGAAGTACTGCGGGTTCAAGAGGTACCGGCCAAAGTTGGAGCACCCGACGGCCGTGCCCGCCGCCATGTTCCACTTGCCGACGGCGAGAGTTTCGACCAAGCCATGACCTTCGGGCGGCAGCGTGTACACGTGGAATTGCGGCGATGACGCGGCGATTGTCAGCACAAAGGCGCCGATGCAGTGGGGCTCGAACGTCGACGGCACGAGGGTGTACTCACCCGGCGACAAGTCCTTGACTTCAATGTAGCAAAAGCCCGGGCGGTACTCCCCCGACTGCGCGTGCAGCGACTTCTTGGAGACGGCGCCGACGCGCTGGCCGTCACGGACCAAGCGGAGGTTGATTGGATACTGCACGGGCGCCTCGAGTGTGATGACGACGTCCGTCAGCGTGTCCGTGACGACCACTTGGTACTGCGGGTTGTGCAGGAACGAGCCGTACCTACGCCATTCTGATCAGACTCGGTGACCAACGCACACTGTCGTCGTACTTGGGGCAGCCGCCGGCAGTCGTGCCCGTCCACTGGTCGCGCAGCGTGTGTTTGTGCAGAGGCGGCGCCGGCGCAGCCGTAAACTCGAACGGTTCGTCCGTCGAGAAGACGGAGATCGTGTAGTCGAGCGACGTGAGCTTCTCGTACTGCGACGCGACGAGGACAAAGGACGTCGCGCCGTCCGGCAGTAGGTCCACGTCGAGGCACGTGAGGCAGTGCGGGTTGTTGCTGTACGTCCCGCGCGCAAAGGCAAAGTTGGGGTAGTACACGCGCGCCGCCTGCTGGTACACGTGGAGCGTCAAGAACTGCTGGACGGCGTCGGGCGTCTCGACGGCGGTCACGTGCCGCGAGAGGAGGATCCAGATCGAGACGACTTGGTGCGGCGCTTCGTGTTGGGGATCGTGAGCAGAAACTGCGGGTTGTAACCGAGGTTGTACGTGTCGTTGGCTGGACCCATCTCGACGGGCCAGTGCTTGTGCACCGTGTACCGGTACTGGAACAGCTCCGGGTTCCAATTGAGGAAGAGCGCGTTGAAGTGCTCTTGCACCGAGTCAAAGTCGATCCAGAAGAGGCCGTCGTCTTTCGCGTGGCGCGCGGCGTCCAGGTCAAAGCCCACTTCGTCTTGCAGCGCTACACACAAAGATGGAGTGCACACACAGTGCCCTTATTAATCGAACCTGGCGTCCAATGCTGCGTGTCGTCGAGGCTGTACGGGCCTTTCCAGCGCTTGCGGTTCCACGGGTTCTTGACGCGGAGCAAGCGCACACCACACGACGTTTCGAGGACGTTGAGGACAGCGTAGGCGTGCGACGGCACAAGCCCGACGCGGCGCGCCTGCGTCAACGTTTCAAAATCTCACAACCAAGGAAGCCGCGGACGTACACTGTCGGGCGGCATGTCGCCCGTCGCGATCGTGATGAGGCAGTCGCCAAAGTTGTAGGCGCTCATGAGCCGCTGCCAGATGACGTCGCTCGTCGGGCCCGACGCGTCGACGAACGAGAGCGACTCGGGAATCCAGCCCGTGAGCGCAAAGAGGTCGATGCCCGAGTTGCTCCCCGGAAAGTCGTAGCCACCGTTCACCTTGAGGTACGCCTTCTCAATGATGCTCACCTACCACCAAACTACATTGCAGAACGAACGAGATGAGTCATCTTCGCACCCAGAGCTCGTTCGAGGTCGTCGTGCACGAGCAGAGGAGCGTGCCGTTGTAGCCGAGGGGCAGGCAGTCGTCCACGACGACCTTGCGCGGCACGCCGTTGGCCCACAGTTTGACGTTGTAGCGTCCGCCGGAATTTACAACTGGGTTCCCAGACGCATCCTAATCCTGGGCGATGAGATACGACACGTGCGTATTCGATACCTGGGGGTAGATGATCTTTGTAATCAGCTTCTTCTGGAACCGCTGCTCGAACGCCGCCGTGATGCAGAGCGACGCGACGAACGAGCAGTCGGTGACGACGTCCTGCACGATAACGTACGGCGAAATGGTCGCAATCATGACGGGGTGCCCGGTGCCATAGCCCGTCGGACGCACCCACTTGTCGAGCTTGTCCATTTGCTTGGGCGACATGCCTGTTCAGAGCGAGCTATGAGACCAAAGCAGCGTGTGCGCAGCGTACTGAGAAAGCCGTCCGGGTCGATGTATTGCTCGTGGGGCGAGAAGACTTCGTACGCGTCAGACGCGATCCACGGCTGGAAGAGACGCCCGTTGACGACCGAGGACCGGCGCAGGACGTCGACTTCTTCGGCCGTGTACTTGGCGTCTCCGGCGTCGTCTTCGTATGTGATCACGGGACGTTGCATTGCAGACGGCGACCGAAGCAGCTGAGGTGTCGACGTGTGCACCCCCGCTTGCTTGGCCGGCGCAACGTCGGCGGCTGCGCAGGTCAACGTTATGCGAAGCGAGATATATGGTTGGAGTCTACCATCGAGAAACGATTCCATCTCTTCCATGAGCTCTTCTTCCATGAGATCGAAGTCGCCACTGACAGCATTGCTGATCACTGGCTCCTTGAGCTCTGTCACGCG